CAAAAAAAACAAATGCGGAAGCGACGTTTCAAAAAGGGGCAAGAATGAACCTTGGGGTAAAATGGTCATTTCCAAGGTGAAAGTGGGTGCTACTGAGCACACCATTGGAAAGACAATGAAAAATCAATCAAGATGGACTCAAGAATCGCATGATTCGGAGTCTGAACGAAGGAGAAACGGTAAGACGAAGAAAAACGAGCACTTAAGGCTAAAAAGGTAAATTGGTAATTTTCCAGGAATATCCGGGTGCAACCAAGCACACCATTAGATAGACGATGAAAAATTAGTCAAGTTCAAAAAAAAAAAAAATTCACTTGATTTGGAGTCCGGACGAAGGAGATATGGCTAACGGAAGAAGAAGGGACAAAAAGGTCAAAATGGTCAACCCAATGCCATCTAACCGGTTAGGAAGCCAAAAATGAAGACCACAACACTGCCCATGCTCATGTAACCGGTTACGAGGAAGCCACTACTCAATCACTTGTGCTATAACTCAGCATAAACCTGGTAGTAGGGTTTTTTTGGGGAAAAAATAAAATAAAATTTTTGAGGGCCAAGATGACATTTTTTGGAAAAATACAAAGAAGAAACCACTCTCAAAATTGAGTTTTCTACATGACAATGTGAGAGAAAATGAAAAAAAAAAAAAAAAAACTCGCTGTGAAATGCCCAAAATGCCCCTCTATGAAATCAGGTTATGAGGGTCCAGAAAACTGCTATATGAAAAACAGAAAGCTGAACTTTGTGGTGGGTTTCCGGTACCAAGACGACATTTTCTGGAAAAACACGAAAAAGAAACCCCCCCTAAAATCATGTTTTCTAAGTGACCATGTCAAGAACGGAATTTATTTCCAGAGGAAAACCCCAGAATGCCCTTAAACCGGATTATACAATAAAAATGCAAAATAAGTCCATAGGGAGGCTCAAATCACCAAGGATGGGGTTTTTCTTGAAAACGATCATGCATGCAAACGTAACTTACCTATTTGGACGTGCTATAATGGTCCATGGCTTAAAAATATAGCCGATGCAAAATCCGACCCCCCAATGGCTAAAAAGGCGAAAATGAACTTGAAATGGAAAACATGAAATCCAAAAATATAAAATGGAGTCAAATGACCGTTTGGCCCTTGGCCACACTTCATACACGATTAATGAGACCATATGAAAGAATAAAAATGGAATTCCCACACCCGATACAACCATGGTGAGACAATGACTTGGCATTTTTCAACATTTTCACAATATTCCATGAAGTCAAAAATTACATAAGATGCAAAATGATGATCATTGGCCACCGGCCTCATCTCATACATGTCAAATACATTGTAAAAGGTGTACTCATGTACACATTACATATATGGAATCAAATATACAGATTTTGACATAAAGGCTATAAGTGTCATTTCAAGCCAACTTTTACAAGAATTAAGACCTTCAAATCTACAATCATCCAAGCAATGATGAACATCACGAACCAAGTCTTCGTACCAAAACAAAACCCCCAGTAACTTCAGGGTGAGTTAACAAGTTTACTCGTAGAGAATGAGCATGCATAGACTCGATTTCTTTGCAGATTTTTACATTAACTTGAAACAATTCAAAAAGGGTATGCTACCTAATGTCTATGTCAAAGTGAGACTCAGGGATCATCTTAAGCTACTCATGTAATTGAAAGGGAATACACGACATGCAAGCATACCAGTTACAAGTTTACTAAACGAAGATGAAAACATGCGAGGTAAGTATACTAAACACACAAGACAGGTATACAAGACACGAATATACTAAATGGAATCTAGATACAAGAAGCAAGTGCATAGTTTCAAGTATGGTGAATGAGGTCTAGATACACGAAGTAAGCATAATGTCTGTACAATTTAAACAAGGTAGGAAACACTCTATATACACGATAAGGTTCTTAGATCTTCGAGAGATAATACTTGAAATCTAAGGGTTTAAAGATTTTGCACGTTGATATAACCCATTACATATGGTTCATGCCACCTAGAATCTAAGTCAAGTTACATGTATAGGATCGTTCCTAAGTCACATTAGCATAAAGTAACATGAAACAAGATAACTAAGAAAATTAACAAGATTGAAGCAATTCAATTAACACGACAAGGACAAGACGTGAAATCAAGGATAATGCATAATATCTATACAATTGAACAAGAATGGAATATTCCACACAACACGACAAGTTTAATACATGAAATCAAGAACAAGGCATAATATCTATGCAAGTAAACAAGATTGGAACATTCCAGTTAACACGATAAGGTTTATACATGAAATCAAGAATAAGGCATAATATCTCTGTAAGTAAACAAGATTGGAACATTCCAATTAACACGAAAAGGTCTTAAATCTTCAAGAAATATAACACTTGAAATTTAAGGAGTGAAATCACGGATGAAGCATAAAATCTATGCAATGAAATAAGATTGGCGCATTTCACATAACACGAAAAGTTTTAAATTTTCAAGGAATAGCAACTTGAAATTTAAAGAGTGAAATCAACCAATGTGGAAACTCGGATATCACCCGAATTAAAATCGTACTCTTGGGATCACTTTAGGGCTACTAACCCATGGGTACCTTCTCCTAGTGCACACTATAGTATAGGGAGCTCTCTGTCTCCCATACTAGAATCAAGTCCTAGCCATATCAATTCTTGATTGATATCACAAGTTCCAAAATCAACAAGTTGTGCAAGTCAAGATAGTATCAAGATACAAGAAATGCATTAACCACGTTTCATGTACAACCAAGATTTTGGAACACACAAGTCATGCCCTAAGTTTCAACTATAATGGCATGTGAAATGTCAAGAAATCATAGAGTACATCTATATAGACCACAAACTAGGATTTAAAACACAAAGAACCCATTGATGTGAATATACCACAAGTATAAGACTAATGATTCGATTATTTGTTTAACAACTCTTGAATAAGTAAATCATTCCAATGTAAGAGTGCAAGTTCATTAACTACATTAATGGAGCTAAGTTGCAACAAGTCATGATACACGATAAAAAGACAAAAGCCCCATGAAATACAAGTCCAATTCATTAGAACACCAAGTAGAAATTAATTAACCTAATTAATTAATTTCTCTAGAAATCAAGGTTGTCCAAAAATTCTCAAAATAATATATATGAATGTCCATTCCATGGTGATTGTAAATATCACAAAGTGAGCAAGATATCATCATGTATAATTTAATTAATTTAAAATTAATTAAATCTCTAGATTTCAAAGGTTATTCAAATGATCCCAAATTAATATATGTCAAGGATTAAGTCATAACCATGCCTATATCAAGTCAAAAATGGAAAACAAGCAAGGTATAATTAAGTAGAATTTAAATCAACTTTAAATCAATTTCTAGAACTTGAACAAAACATGTATACAAGTTGTATAAGCATCAATAACATGCAAGACAACAAGAATATAAACTATAACACCCCCTACCTCAATTTGAGATGATATCTCAAATCCCCATCGAAAGAAAAGTGCTCCGAATCCGACGATACTCCTAGGTTATGTCGGGGACAACGAGGGAAGCAACTTCAACCTTTGAGGTACCATGAAAATCCAAACTTGAACTTGAAACCCGAACTCAAAATTGTCAGAAATGGACTCTAATAAGGGGGAAAGGTAGAACACGATGAGGCCTACGATAAACGTTAAGGCGGAAGACTTTTCACCAAGGAAATCAAATGGAGGAAAAGAAGAAAAGGTGGCAGCCCAAGGAGCTCCCATGACTGCCGGCCAAAGAGGGAGGAATATGATGGAAAATCTAATTTTTGTCTTTAAGACATTCTATTTATAGTAAAACCCTAAAAAAACCCCGAAAGGGCCCTACCAGGTTTGAAAAAGTAGAATTTGAGCAAACGTGCTCAAACGGCAAAACTCCATGTACAAAAAAGAACCAAAATGAGAAAATATGAACAACGGAAGAAACGGCGTCAAAAACTGAGTTCCGAGCAGAAAGATATGCCCCGAACAAGTTCGCGGCAACTGGGGCCAAAAACCCTGAAACTAAAGAAAAACGATCAGAAGGAAATTCTAAGAGTACACGACTTAAGGAAATGTGAAAATGAATCCAGTACGAGGATCCAGACTCAAAACAAAAATTTTTTGCAATAACTTTGGTTAATTGCACAATGGCCCCTCCAAAAAGGGTTAACTGCACTAATAACCCAAAATGAAAATATCTTCCAAAAATATTTTCTTAAAAACCCCTAAAATAAAATATCTTCAAAAGATATTTATGAAAAACACCCCAAGAAAAGAAAAAGATCCTGAAGAACTGTGCATCCATGCCTCTATGGATACCGAGAGCAACCAGACAAATCGGGTGAACAACGATCTAACAGGGTTTTATTGACCATGAAAGTCTGGCGAAGGTACCATGCTTTAGTTACCATGAATTTATGCGAAAGTACACAGATGAGAGAAAGATGGTTGATGGTGATAATCTTGGCTTGGTGGAGAGTGGTGGTTGGCATTTCTGATGTCGGGTGTGGGGGTTAGTAGGTGGATCTCACCACCGCCGTTGATCACACGAAGCTTTGTTTCCGGCAGTGGCGTCACTGTGGGCGATGGCTGTCATGGTCACCATCAACCGGTGGTTGAAGAAGAAGAGAAAGAAGGATGGGTATTTTTGGAAGACTAAAAGGATAAAATGAGTATTGCAGTAATAATTTAGGGATGTTTATTGCACACAGGGATAATTTTGCACAATTTCAAAAGATTAGGGGTGTTTATTGCACATTTTTTCAAATAGAGTATAAAAGTGCTACTAAAAGTATACTTGAAGGGTGTTTTCTGCACTATATCCTTTTTTAGTATAATATTCTTATGCTAACACGACCTAATTACGACTCGCGAATACGAATTGCCACCCCAATGTGATGGTATTTGTAATACTCCCATGTAATTATTACATTTTAGGCCATACAAAAAAGTGAAACACGGAAAAATAATAAAGTTAGAGCGAGAAGGTTGTCACCGCAATTAACCGATGAGGAGAAAGTAACCAACCCTAGTTAGCAACGCACCACAACGAGCGTGCGGTAGCAACTGCCACTCCGTGGTTGCCGTAGCCTCCGGTTACCGCCACCGTATCTCCTCTTCGCCGTCGCAGGTAACCCTTTTCTTTCTGTTAATAACTAACAAGCTCACTCTTTTCTAATTTTAATTTTAATAATTTTTACTTCTTTCTTGGTTTGATTGATAAATAATTTTGTTCGATTAAATTAATTGCTTTCTGAATAATGAAGTTCCTGATTTGGTTGATTGATTGACAACGAGGCCTGTTTGGTTCCTGTAATGTAGGAATTTAAAGAAATCAATATTTATTATCTTAGTGCTTTCTTGCTCAACTGAACCCATTAGGCTAAATTGCGGTGAGCTTTTCATGTTTGCGAAACGAAGGCAACATAAAATCATATTTATTTACAACACTTCTATGCACAACGTGAGTGTTGAAGTAGATACAGTATGAACTTGTATGCTTTATTTCTTCAATTACTAGTTCTCACGTGAATATGGTATTTCTTTGTCTGATCGGTTCTCTGATTGCTACATATTTTTAATGAAATAGCTAGCAATTAGGTGGTATGAAGTATTGATATTTTGTAAGAATTAGATAAAATTTTGTTTCGTTATGCATCTGACTTCTCTTTGATATAGTTGTCTTATTCTTCTTCTTCTTCTTCTTTTTATTTATTTATTTTTACTTATATATGATATAGTATTGGATTAGTGAAAGTCCTAATATACAAGCACCTTACTATTGTGAAAATTGACATATAATTGTATATTACCAAACAATTTCTGGCATGAAAGACTTTTAAGGCTAAATTGTTGGCACCAGTACTACATTTTGCCTCTGTGGACTAACGAGAAAGGTGGGGCTTAATAGGAAGAGAATTGTACCATGAGAGAAGCAAGGAGGACACCTCCTTAAAATGTACAACATGGATTTTGGCAATGCAATGTGGTTGGACTGTCATGTTGATCCGAAAAGGTAAAAGACCCTTATTTTATTCCTTGTCAAGATTAGCCGGTCTTAGGATAGCGCGAACTTGCCTTTTAGAATCCAATAAGTACTCTATATGATATTTAAACAATAGTTATAAGAAGCCTTGCTACCACCCCCACCCCCCAACAGTTAGGGTGTAATTGTGATGAATTTTGTTCCGGGTCACAACGACGTGACCACCCGATGATTGAGCTTTGTATGGACCATTTTTTGCTTGCGGGTCATGGATCCTATTTAGTACTCTCTTGTAGCTCGGTATATAAGGGTGCTTAGGGTTTGCAATGGGAGGAGAGAAAACACTGAAAATTGTAGAATGAGAGTGAGAGCAAGAGCGAGAGCAAGGGTTTGGGGTTGGAACTTGTGATCTCCTGATTTTTGCAGTGGAATTTTTTTGCCGGATCTTCACTGTGGATGCATGCACAGCTTGTGTCGAATCACGCTAAATTTGTGTCTTGTGTGGTGCTTGTTTTTGTCGTGTTTCATAATTGTATGTTGGTTCGTGGCTGTTTGTTGCAACAATAGTTTTAACAGCCTTTTTGGTAAAATAAAAGTAGCCATATAAATTGTTTCTATCATTGAAGGAAAGGTCTGCTACCTTCCAAGTACCCCTTGAGGGTGGAGGGGGGATTGTAATATCCTGAGTATTAATGAATTTATTTATTTAGCAACATGGGCTAAGGTTCACTTAAATTGACATTGGCTTAGACCTAATGAGATGAGTACATTGAGAATGTAATAAATGTTATGGTGCATTTTGATGCTCTAATGGAATAATTTTAATAAAATCGATTGACGAAAGTAGACTTGTGAGTCCAACTCGTTATGTTCTTAGATAAAAGATATTAGTTGGGATTGGAATGTGACAATATATGAAATTACGATAGAAAGTGAAAATATTGGAAGAGGAAGAACTTGAGATAATAATGGATTTAAGGACTCAAAAGAAAAATTGGTTTTAGGTAGTGGAGAAAAGTAGAAATTAAAATAAGTTAAGGGGTAAAAAGAAAAATTAGAATATTATATATGAAATATTAAGTAGCACATGGGTACTATAATTCTCCACACGCACACGCACACACACACACACACATATATATTCTATATATATTCATGTGGTGCAAAGCCTTTTGGGTAAGCTTGTAACAATGAAAGAAAAAAGAAGAAGAGATGAATAAGCATGGTGACTAGTGTCAATAGAAAAAAAAAAAGGTGGCAAAACATACATGGCACATGGTAACATGATGAGTAGTCTTAGAGACAAATAAGGCTAAGTGTATATAATGTCTCCTACAAATTTTGGGAATGGGTATATATATAATACATATGTAATGGAAAGAAAAAAAATCGAGAACTTGGAATGGAGGAAGAATGAGCTTTTTTGGAGATAGCAAATATTAACCGTATAGAGGGGTTGGGTAATATTATGGAGGCTTTGAGAAGTAAGATGGTGGATTGTCAAGCGGAGATTTCGTGGAGGTAGAATCTTCAGCACTGGGCCTAAAGGAGGGGTAATGTAATGTTCTTTCATAGACTTGCTAATGCCCATCGAAGGGGTAATCATATTGGGAGGATTTGATTGGATGGGGAGTTGTGCAAGAATGAGGATGTTTGTTGAGGAATAACCTATTTTTATCAGAAGTTGTTTACTTAGACTTCTAGTTGGGGACCTTTGCTTGGGGGGATTCATTCGATTCGATTTATGGTGAGGATGTTGGGATAAAAAGCCCTTTTCTTGAAGAGGAAGTGCTAAAGGCACTGAAGAGCTGTAATGGGGACAAAGCCCTGGGTCCTGACTCTCCATAATATCCCTTTTAGAGAGGTGAGAGGTGGTTAAGGGGAAGGTGATGGGAACTTTTCATGCTTTTCATTCCCAGAGTTGCTTCGAGAAAAGTCGAATGTCACATTCATTGCCCTTCCCAAGAAAGGGGGCGCTGGATTTTAGACCTAATAATTTGGTGAGGTTTATTTACAAATTAATCGCTAAAGTTCTTGCGTTGAGATTAAGGGAGGTTTTGGATGGGTCATCTCGGATTCTCAAAGCGCTTTTGTGGGAGGTCATCAGATTCTTGATTTAGTCTTATTGCTGGCGAGTGTGTGGACTCTAGACTGTGTAGTGGGGTTCCTGGGGTTTTATGCAAGCTTTGAAAGGCTTATGATCATGTGGTTTTGGGGAGAGATGGAGGAGCTGAATTGAGTTTTGCATTTCAAGCATTCAATTCTCGATCCTCATGAATGGAGCCCCAACGGGTTTCTTTTGTAGTTCGAGGGGTTTGAGGTAGGGAGATTCGCTCTATCCTTCTTTTTCCTCATTGTGATGGAGGCTTTTAGCAGAATGTTGAGGGCGGCGGTGCATGTGGGTTTGTTGGGGGGCTTTCGGGTGGGGAGAGATGCTCCTAGTTACACTTTGTTTGGAATGTTGGATTTAATGGGATTTGGATTTGAAAACAGGATTTGCCTTGTTTGGAACCACGGAATTACAAAAGGGATTTGATAATTGTAGGATTTCAAATACCGTTTCAATTGCGTTTCAAATCCAGTCTAAAAAGCCAGGATTTGACGGGATATATATTCTTTAATTAAACATTTCCTTAATTAACCTTCCAACTTCTTCTCGTTATTAAACAAGTCTTCTTATTAAACCCTATCCTAAATATCTACTACCATATCTCAATCTCTAACGTTTTCCTTTCTATTCTTTTATTTAACTAAATCCTTCCTATTCTCTTATTTAACCGAATCCATTCTATTTCGTTCTCTATATAATAATACCGTTGTTTTTTATCTATATATATATATATTTTTCCTCTGAGTGTTGAGCATATATTTTTTTCTCTGAGTGTTGAGCATATCCTGGTTAGTCAAGTCTTCTGTGTATTTTGATTTTAATTTTTTTTATATTTATTTGTCTTCATCTGGAATTTTATTTAGATACGTATGGAGGAGAATTTTATAACCAAAAGTCATGGAATCCAATACTTTAGTATCCACCACCACTTTTTTATTTTTTGTACTTAAAAATTTATCCTCAAATCTCAGAGTTATGGAGAAAGATATCGATTTCTCAAAATTACCAAAAGTCTGTGTTTAACAGATTGATCCACCACCGCTTTTGTATTCTTGTATTTGAAAAATCTATAATACAGAATTGTATAACCAAAATCATGCTCCAATCCTCCATAATTCACGCCATTTTGTTTGAGTACTCTAATATCTTAAACTGCATTTAACAGATTGATCAACCACCACTTTTGTATTTTTGTACTTTGAAAAATTTACATTTGTATATTTGTACTTCAAAATTTTACATGAATGTAGCATAATTTTATAACCAAAAATCATGGAATCCAATACTTTAGTATCCACCACCACTTTTGTATTTTGTGTACTTAAAAATTTAAACGAAGAGTCATAGAGCATAATTTATATTTTTACAATTTACATTTTTGTATTCTTGTATTTTTGTTTTTTTTTTTTTTTATATATATAAAAATAATAAATAATTGTTTTTTTTTTTTTTCTTTTTTTTTACAATAAATTTCATGTTTCAGAGTTCTATCACGTAATCATTCCTGTTGTTTGTCTTATTGATGTAACTTTGGAGTATATTTTACAATAAATAAAATAAATAGTCTTATTTTCCAATTCAGATTCCTTTTCCAAATCCTAAAATAATCGATTCCAAACAAAGCGTTAGTTGAAGATTTCCCATTTGATGTTTGCTAATGAAACTTTGGTTCTTTGTGATGCGGACATGTCTCAAATGAGGTATTTGAGATGCGTTCTTATTTGGTTTCAAGTTGTCTCTGGATTGAAATTGAACGTTAGGAAAAGTGTTTTGGTTCTGGTTGGGGAGGTTCCTCGGATCTTCGTTCTCGCCGACACCTTGGGTTGTTGAATTTGCTCCTTCGTATTTTCTTATATGGGGTTACCTCTTGAGGCACTGTCGAAGAGAGTGGGAAATTGGGATACTGTGGTGGAGAGGTTTGAGAGAAGTTTGGCAGGTTAGAAGAAGCAGTATCTCTCAAAGGGTTGAAGATCACTTTGATGAAGAGCACTTTGTAGAGCTTTCCTACATATTTCTTCTCTCTTTTTCATATTCT